TTCCCGCCGGGCAGCTCCCAGCCGCTCCTCCCCACGCCTGCAGCGGTGCCTGGGGTTGCTGTGCCCCCAGTGCAGGACCCGGCCCTGAGCCTTGCTGACCCTCACCCCGTGGCCTGGGCCACAGAAGTACCCAAGTAAAACACAGCCCCTAGGGAGGAGGTGATATTTTTCCGTGCTTGCCCATTTCTGTGATTGTTGTGCTGTTTCTGCTGTTCAAGAGCAGCACCAGCGCCTCGGTGACAGCCAATACGAAGCTGTTTGTTCAGCACAGCTGATTTGCAATTCAGAGAAATCTCTTCCCACGCACATTCTCTCTAACACGTCCTGCCGCACTTCACAGGCGACGGTTAAACTCCAGCCACTGTTTCTGGAGACGAAAAACCATAACCATCAGAAGCTGCAAAAGTCAAACTCCGCAACAAAGCACACAGGTGCCTTTGGTAAATTGTTTTAAATTCTGCTGCTGTTACTCCAAAGGGGGAAAAAAAGTATTGTTATACCTGCTTTTAGGGTGTGGGTTATGATCTTCATGAATAAAGAATATTGCCTTGGCCAATATTTCTTTCCAAATGAGAACCGAAAGTCAACAGAGATGGAAATCTTGATTGCATTTCCATAATGGTGGTTTAACGAACTCCTCGTTTTCAAGTTTGTCTGTACTGGTAGTACACACCGGCTCGTTAAAGGAACATTAACTTCTCATGGTTATCTGCACCCTGCGAATACCTGGGTCAAAAGAATGAAAAAGCAGTTCTCTGTCCTGCCTGAATGTTTTTTAGAAGGAAATTCCTTTATTTTAACTCCAATGAAGTTTTTAAAGCTATTTTCCTCTAAACTTGTCACATGAGTCTTTCACATACTTTATTTAAGCCTTTTTTAATTCTTTGCTTATTTTGCAGAAAGGAAATTAGAACAGAAATAGAGCAGAGCAGAGCAGAGCAGAGCAGTTCCGTTGGAAGGGCCCTACAACAACCATCTAGTCCAACTGCCCGACCGCTTCAGGGCCGGCCATATCTTGCAGGATTTGGAAATGCAATGCTTGCCCCAGCTTTTTGTTTTAATTACGGTTTGTTCTGTCTGTCAGTTTTACGACGGCGTTTTTCCCGTGGTGACAAGGGCTGTAGCTGGTTCCTCATGCGACTGTTTTTCACCATGATGCTGAGCCCCGGGAGGCTCAGGCGGAGGCCGACCAGTCCCCGCTCCCCAGGGCCCTGGGCAGGGGAAGGGTGTCCTCCCTCCCGGAGGACCGGGACATGCAGGCTGCTTAGGGAGGATGGGCCGGGGGTGAGGAAGGGGAGCTGCCCTTTGGGCAAAAGCCGAGGTAATCTGTGCTTCCCTTCGCCTGCCCTGAGTTTCATTATCTGCAGTGCCTGGAGCTCGCTGCATCCACAGGGAAAGCGTGCTCATGGGACCTTTCGCTCACGCCCTGGGCTGGTTTCCCGCTGAGACTTTCCGCGGCTCAGGAGGCATCTCCAGCGCGGGCATCAAGCACCCCCGGTGCTGTTCCCGCAGCCGCCGCGGGTGCTGGCCCCAGCCATGGCCCCGCACAGCCCCATCACTTGCCCACTGCAGCGGATCCCTCTGGAAGGCCCCCCCCCCTTCTACCCTGGTGCTTTGCTGACGCTCTCGGTTCTGTGGAGCCTTGTGCTGATCCTCAAGGCGGCTCTGGCTCTGGCGAGGTCGCTGTAATGAAACTGCACTGCACAGGACACCTGGATGAGCCGGCTTGGAGCTGGGAGGGGATCGCTGTCATCTCCCATGCCCGTACCCCTGGCACCAGCACTGCGGGGCAGAGCCAAGAGCCCTGAGGCAGCAGGGAGAGACCCCGGTGCCACAGGCATCGATGCAAAGACCCTGCCAGAGCGCCCAGGCCGTCTGCACGGCTCTTCCCTCGTCTCACCGACCCGGGGAGGAAAACAAATCGTCCTCCACCTGGCTGACCGCAGCTGCAGCTCCCCGAGGGACACCGGCTGCTGGGGAAGGGTGACAGGTCCCACGCCGAGCCCTGGGGCAGGCACCGCTTTGGCCCGAGGAGCAGCGCAGCTCCCACAGCTGCCCTCGTGTGCCTGGCCCGGCAGCGAAGGGCTTCCCCCATCTCTCCTCTCCCTTCCCGACCAGCCCTTGTGTCTCCATCACAGATGACAAGCAAGCCTTCGTCGGCTTCTCCAAGAGGGGTGGCAGCAGCGGCTGCACGCGCAGCAGTAAATCGGGGCGCCCAGGGCTGCGCGTGGTGGTAGGATGGTGCCAGGCCAGGACCGGTGGGTTTGAAGTATATTAGTTGATAATCTCCCTTGGAAATACGTGGTAATTCCCCGAGGACTCCTTGGGCTGGACAGCAGCACGCGTCCGTGGAGCAGAGCGCTGCGTGCACCAGACGGACGTGGACGCACTGGAGCGGGTCCAGCGAAGGGCTGCGAAGACGACTGGGAAGCATTGGACGGATGGGGAGAGGCTGGGAGAGCTGGGAGCTCTCAGCCTGGAGAAGCGGAGTGGGATCCTGTCCTCACTGGACGGAGACCAAGTGGTGCCAGGACGAGAGGGGCTGGGTACAAACAGAAACCTGAAACCCCAGGGAACTGGGGTTGTTTAGTTTGGAGAAGAGGAGGCTGAGGGGAGCCCTCATCGCTCTCTGCAACTGCCTGAAAGGAGGCTGGAGCCGGGGGGGTCGGTCTCTTCTCCTCAGGAACAAGCGATGGGACGAGAGGGAACGGCCTCAAGCTGCGCCAGGGCAGGGTTGGGGTGGGTATTAGGGATGGGGACATGGTTTAGTGGTGGCCTTGGCAGCGCTGGGTTACGGTTGGACTCGATGATCTTAAGGGTCTTTTCCAACCTTAACGATTCTATGATTCTATGATTCCTGTGAGTCCGTGATTCATCGCTACCACAAAATAAGGCAAATCAGGAAAAATAAGGAAAATCAGCGAAAACAGAGCAAGGACAAAGAGAATTATCCTGCAACCCACAATTACCCTGCATGGTGTAGCTCTGGACCGCTCCCTCATTTTCCTCTCTGCTTTGTACCTCCCCACGTGCTATTCTGCCTCTCCGTGGGCTCCGGGTCCGTGTGGTTGCTGTCCCACTTGCCCCCGTTCTCCCGCACCACGCGGCAGACCACCCCCATCAGCTTGGCGACCTGCTGCTCCCGTTCGGTGCCGACTGTTGAAGCCGCAGTACCTGCTCCCGCACCGCAGGATCAGGTCCTGGAGCGCTCCGTTGCCGCAATACCGCAGGTAATCGTGCAGCAACCGCACCAGGTCTTCCTTGTGGGTGAACAAGACGATCGTGTGCCTCAAAACATCGACTCTCAAAATGTCCTGCAGTCTCTGTCTGGCCCCCTGGTCCTCCTCGATGAATCGGCCCAGCTCGGTTACCAGCAGCAGCACGTGGGGGCCCAGGGAGGACAGCCTGACGCGACGAGTGATTTCTTTGTACGCTTCACTGACGGCAGCTCTTGGATCAAAAATATCGGCTGTGTCAATGACCGTGATGTCCTCGCCGTCGCAGCGCCCTTGCGCTTGCACACAGCTCATGGTCACCGGCTCGGTCACAAGCTTGGACTTGAGCACGCTGTTCTCCGAGGAGGGTGTTCGCGGTGGTGCTTTTCCCTGCCCTGCTCTTCCCAGCCAGGAGGAGCCTCATCCCCGAGCCCCCACCGTCCCCCAGCAGCGTGGGAATGGGAGCTCGCTGGATGGCCACGGCTACGCCCCATGGACAAAAGCAGCCGTACGCGACTGCCCTCGGCACCACGGGGCTGCCTGCGCCAGGTCCCTGGGGTGTCCACAGGGGCTGGGGACACCGGTAACGTCCTCCAGGCACCCTTGAAGCGCTCTCTGGCACAGCCTGCTCCCCCAGGTCGTCCTGCCTGCAAAACAGGCACCGCAGCAGCTTTGTGCTGTTTGGCAGGGAGAAACCAGCTCCCTCCCTGCACGGCTCTTCTGGCTGCCCGGGCACGCCTGGACTCCCTTCCTCCCCCAAAAAAACCTTCCAGCCAGCATAAAGCCTCGCGCGTCTCCCTCCCCTGCCCCTCCAGCCCGGTGCCTTCGCGCTGCCTGGCTGGAGCCAGCGCCGAGGCAGGAGTACCGCTGCAGCCGCAGAGCTCGTCCCTTCTCCTGGTGCCTCTCTGCCGGCACACGGAGCGAGGCCGGATGGGGTCTGGCTCTGCCCATGGGAGCAAGGCTTGGTCTGCGGCTCAGGCTCCTTCCCGGGCGAGCAGGCAGAGAGCTGGGGGCTGGCAGAGACTGTGTCCCCTTGGAGGCTCTCGGAGCCACCGGGAAGTGCCCGTGCACGGCGATGGCAGTGGCAGCCTGTAGCAAAGCCCTCGTGCTGCAGCTGGGGCGGCATGCGGACCCTTCGTGGCACCGGCTCCTCCCCATGGCAGGGCAGAGCCGGAGCATGCCGCAGACACAGGGGAAGCCACCCCCTTCCTGCCTGCCCCTCGCTTCACCCCGTGTGGTGACCCCCTGCCTCGACCACGTACCTCCAGCCCACGGCCACACGTCTGACATTACGGTTAGAAACAAAAGCTGTGGGGCGGGCAGGACCGGTGTGCCCTGGAGTCCTCGCTCACCCCCAGTACCTCTGCATGCCGCCGTTGATGCCCGTGCAGCGCTCCCGGTACCTCTGCACACCACTGTCAGTGCCCATGCCGTCCTCCCGGTGCTGCCACAGGTGCCGGCCCCAGCCGCGGCCCGGCACAGGCCGCAGCAGCTCCTGGGCGCAGCCCGAGCTGGCCGAGGCCACCGCAGCCCCGCTGTCCTGGGAGCCGTACCCCAAGGGACGGGCCGCTCCGGGATGCCGCCCTGTGGGAGGGACGCTCGGTGCCGTGCCTGGTGCCCACGGGGGCTGCTCCCAGGTCCCACCTTCGCTTCGGGAGCAGTTTGGGCAGTGGGAAGCAGGAGGGGTGGAAACAGCAGCCCGGGAGGGGCCAAGCTTCCCATGGGAAGGGGGGTCCCGCATGTCCCCGGGGGGCGAGCGGTGCTGCCGCGGGGCTGGGGCGGCTCTGCACTGTGCCGCTCCAGCACTGCCCCCCCCCACCGCGCCTCTGCCGGGCGCCCGCCGGTGTGGCGGCCGGCTCGCTGGCTGACCTCTCCCCAAAGGAGTCCTTTCCCAGCGCGGAGGAGACGTCCTCAGCCTCGGGCACCCCTGGGGTCCTCAGGTGCTGCTCTCTGTTTGCGTGGTCTCGTGCGTCCCCGCGCTCCGGGGGCCTCTGGCCGCCCGCGGCACCGCTGACCTGGCAGGACGCGGGTGCAGCAAAAGGCCAGGTGCAGCAAAAGCACTGAACCGCGCAGCCGTGGGGGGAAGAGGCCGAGTTTCGGACCCCGTTACTGGCAACAAAGCGGGTGGGAAGGAGAAAGCGAGACCTTGCCCACGCACGGGACCTCAGCGCGGCTGAGCCAGGGCGGTGGCGTCCCGGTCTGTGACACTGGGGTTTTCCCCTGAAACCTCCCTGGGGTCTCGGATGTTTGTGACTCCTGCAGCTGGGGGATGCTCCCCCGTTCCCAGCCACCCAGGCGTGACCCACCCGTCCGGCCTCTCCGCGGCCGCCCCCGCCTCCTCGGCTCGCTGGGACCTGCCGCGGGGACGTGGCTGCATCCGGATGCTCGAAGGGACCAGGACACGCTGGCATCGTCCCTGGTCCCGGGGAGGGCGGCACCACCTGCGGAGCCGCAACGTTCAGTGTGGGCGCAGGGAACAGCAGGGCCGGGACACGGTGTCAGGGACATCGGGACCTGGGACATGAGGACACAGGGACCTCAGAGACCAAGGGATCCGGGAACTAAGGGATCCCAAGGATCCAGCGACTCCGGAGATCGAGGGCCACACGGTCCCAGAGAACCAGAGACCCCGGGGACGCCAGGACACGGGGCTGCCCCCCTCCCACGTGCGCAACCCGGGGTGCCGGTGCTGCGCGGGGGCCCCGTGCCGCTGGTGATTTTCCCCGCCGGCAGCGTGGGTGCTCTGCGCAGGCAGCTGCAAAGGGGAACCACCGCCATGAAAGCGGCGAGGGCGGCAGGGGCAGAGCCCGGCGGCAACGAGGGACAGGGCAGGGACGGGAGGCGCCGGGCTGCGGCCGTGCCAGGACGGCGACCGTGCTGCCGGGGTTTGTGGGGCAGAGACAACTGTAGGGCACCGGGATGTGCCGCAAAGGAAGCCTCGTGCCCGCTGCAGCCCATGCGCCGGCAGCAGAGCTTTGTCCCCGCTCCCCACACCAGCGGTAAACCCCCCATGCCCGCTGTGTGATCCGTGCCAGGACCCCCTCTGGCACGTTCTCAAAATGTCAGCGACGAGCGGTTCTCCGGGCAGCGCCAAGCACAGGAAGGATTCCCTGGGTGCTCCGGGCCGGCAGCACCCGCAGCAGGGTGCGGCAGGGATGGCTGAGCTTGCGGCACAGCCCAGGCTCACCGCGCTGGCCAGCACGCCCGGCCTGAGCCCGTGGAGCGGTCCCCAAGCTGGTGACCGGCTCGCGCGGGGGTTTCCCTGCTCCTGGCCACTGCTCGTCCCAGTTACGTCCCTCCCTTGGGATGGCAGAGGCACGGCACCCGCTCTAGCCCCAGCCGGTGAGCCAGGCAGGAGAGGCTGGGGTGGGTGCCTGCCAGGGGCTCGCTGGGGAGGGTGAGCGGGGGGTCCTGCTCCGCAACCGTCCCGCCAGCGACGCGGGGCCTTCGGCAGCCTGGAGAGCGTGAAAAAGCAAGGGGGAGGTGGGAGCAAACCCTGCTGCGGCCGGCACAAGGCTCAAACGCCCACTCATGAGCGAGAAACCCCCCGAGCCGTGCCGGAGAGGAGGGAGCCGCATGGAGCCGGTGCCTCGCAGAGGCCACACGCCGTCTCCGCGCCCGGCAGCCCGCGGGGGCGACACAGTCCAGACAGTGT